ATACAAAACATACAACGATAAGGCATATAATTTTTACAATTATAACACGTAATTATATATCTATGAATTGGATTACATTTTTGAAATTACATATAAATATAATTGCAAATATAAATATGCATGCATCAGCAGATAGAGATTATCTTTTCATTACACCTTTTACGTTAAAATTAACTTTAACATCAAAAAAATTTAATGAAAAAGCTTTGTGCAGAAACGTTTAAGCGCGATTAGAATAAAAAAAAAAGTTACATGAATTTTCTAATTTTATTACTTACTACACACACACACACACACACACACACACACACACACACACACACACACACATACACTAAGAAGAACGATATTATAGGTATGCATATCCCATTTGCTCCAGGCTATTTCGTAAAAATCAATTCGCAAGAGATTGATAACAAAAATTGTAATATAACATTTTATACATTTTTCCGTCCGTGCATCAGCAATTGCTACACTGTTCCATCATGATTTTGTGATGATCGCGTGGTACGTAACATCTCTCTTGCAGTGCAACCTGACCCGACTTGTTCGGGCAATCCACCCGAAGGCGGTGGAGTGAAGCGCGCATACAAATGACAGGAAGTATCTTCGAACATTTATTGCAGCACTGCATTAATAATTTGACGTACTACATTGTTTACGTCTTCCGTGTCTAGCCGTTTCCATCCGGTGGTCTGAAACGAGATGAGATGTGTCCCTGCAGCAATACATTTTCTCGTATCCACATGTTCGCGATGAACTTTTCTCGTCACTTTTGGACGTCCCCCATTCTCGAACGAGCTCATTAAAATTTTCCTATATAATATATCCACATCACTCTGAGTATCTGAAAATTTCAAAAAGTGATGCCCGCGGCGATAATAAATGAAAGCATTATAGCCGCTTTTATTTACTAAAAGAGCGCTTAGTGTTTTATGGAAGACGCGACTTTCTGCACAATCGCGGATTCTATGATAAAATTAACGTCAACTTTTCCTTGAAGAAAAATTAGCGGAAGAACCATTATTTCTTTCTTCGAATTTTTTTCCTCCAGTATTTCTATAGACGAGCAAGGACGTGCACTCTGTATATTCCGGCGCGGCAAATTATAAATTCAATTGGAAACGCCCTCGCTATCAGGACACTCGTCGTTTGCTGTTTAGCTGTGCAACATGGCTGTATATCGAATAAACGAGTGTATTCGTGTATACGTATAAAGAGGATCGGGTGTACAGCGTGTATATATTATCTTAGTTCTAACTTCAGAGAAATTCATTTTCGCCTCGCCATTCCTAGAGGTGTTGAAGTATATAAATGGAAATGGGCGTCACATGCTTCCAACCGGTTGTGCGCGGCAGCAATTGTAGAAACTGTCTTAGACATCGAGCGCGTTAACGCTTTAACGCGTTAGCTCACGAAACGGCCTTCCGGCTCCCTTCGGGATTTCGGTTAACCTCGAAGTCAAGCATTCAGAGCGAAAATTCGTCAATTCCCAGGAATATCCTTCGTCGCCGCGCGCTGTTGTACTCCAATTAAGGATTCGTCTCTGCGTGTTGCCACAGGATGGCTTGATGCTAAAATCGATCACATAAAATTCACTCACAGAAAATTTATTGAAAATCTGTCGCGTGCAAAAATTTCGAAGCTTAAACGCTTGTTTGACTTACGACTGAACAACTCGCGAATAAATAACAAGATAGGATTATTAATTAATTGTACGCGAAAGCTGGTTCTGTCACAGTTTGATTTTTGTGCGCAATATTTTACTCCCCAACCAATGGAATCAATAAGATGGAAATATAAATTTTATTAATTTTATTAAATATTGCTGCGATTTTTTAAAATGTACATACGTTTATTGAGAAATCGTTTGTATTAAGCTATAATTTATTCGTTTTTATTAAAATCTATGCCGCACGTGTAATCGTTAAAGGAACATATAAGTAACCGAAACTCATAAATCATTAAAAGGTCGTTCTGATAGGCCTTGTAAATGGGTTGTTGAAAACATGTACACACCTCGAGCAAATTTCATCCGCGATTTTATCGTCACGCAACAATGTATTTGTTACCGCATCTTGCGAGCTTGTCGTGCAAATGTTACCTCGTATATGCACAATTGCGTTAAAATTTCAAAAAAATTAGGTCAAGCATCACCGGCATGTTTTTACGTTTTACGTTTAACAGGAATGCCTTCTTGCCTTGTTGCCGCGATCTGGAAATTTACCGAACGTCCGCGTAGTATTGTTCGCAATTTTCGTGTCGATCGCGCGGAAAATGATTAATACTCGACAGCGATGATAACCATGAATGATAAATCAGATATCCGCGGCACGTCGCGCGGCTGCATATTGCAATTCGTAAGTGAAACTGCGGTAGACCTAGAACGAAAATCGGATCGGATCCTTCGTGAACGGAATCTTAATCAGTCTGTCACATCATAGATGCAGGCAGCTTGTTTTTTAATTTATAGAGCGCCTTTACGCCTCCGTATATAATCTTTATGTTTCTACTTGTTATGCTTTAGTATTATCTTGAAGGATAATACAAAGACAAACGGGATTACGTGTTCACGTCATCCGATGATCTTGCATTATTGAAGATATAGGTATTATGGATCTAAAATGATATCCTTACGGTAACATGACATCGGATCTTTTTCACAGAAAGTAAACCATACGTACCGAGAATATGAGAATATGAGAAGAGAAATTTAGACAAAGTAATATATGATAACAATCTAGTTGGTAGCACACACTTTTAAAAATTGCAGGAGTTTTTAATGAACCTCGCGGCAAATATATTTCTGTTCCCTTTAAGTTCTGACTAACGTCAGCATATTTAGAAAACCAAATTTTCTATAGAATAATATTCCAACCATCGTTGGAAAAATGCCAGCGAATAATCCTAATTAATATGCGAGCACTCATTAAATGGATAATGTATGATTTTTTATTTTAAGGTTCTCTTGTTCGATAAGTAAGTATATTTATATAATATATATATATATATATATAATATATATATATATATATATATATAACACACCCACCCACACACACACACACACACACACACACACACACACACACAATCATTACAATAACTTAACTGACCTGTAAACTAGTAATTATTTATAATAATGACAGTACTCTTGCTACAATATTTTACATAAAATATCAGTTTCATGGTTAAATGTAATTTTAAATATATATACGTGGATAAAGTTAATATTCCGTCATTTCATTTTAAGTATTTTATTTTTAATCTTTGTATCTGCATATATTAATTTTACCAGAGCTCATCTCATTTTCAAAGAGAAGAAAAAGTAATTTAGACTATGCTGATAGCGCCGCGTAATATATAATAGTACAACAAAGGAATTATATTCAGCTTCGCAAACGAAGACGAAATGCATAAAGTGTGTCAGAGACAATCGGAGCCGAATATATCAGATTCTCCTATTGTCGACATTTAGCAACAAGCAAAATACATAGATATTTAGCATAAAGGTAAAAGGGAAACAAGTGAAATACGTAGGAAGCACTGTTGATTCTGATAAATTTTGAAAGAATCCGATAATTGCCTTAATTTGTAATTTTATTTAAACCACTTTATGTAGTTTATTTATTTGTAAAATTTAAAATCATTTGGCCTTTTCAATCATTACTTCTCATAATACTTATTCTTCATAAAAAAATTTGCCTTTAATATGTATCATATCTTTTGAATAACTGCTAAATAATGATAATAATATTATAATTATAAAAATATTATAATAATTAAAGTAGAAATCAGAATATAAATTGTTATTAATAAAAATTAATATAAATAAATTTAATAAGTTTTTATATTTTTTCATTGATTCAAGTTATAATCCTTTAGACGAATTAATTTTTTTAATTACGTTAACAAAAAAAAATTTAAAGAAAACATTATAAATAAATTATACAGTTTTTCTCATTACTATTCCTACTTCAATTTATTTCATTTTTCTTCATGTATATCAAGAAATTTTTGTAAACAGAAAAATGTTTATGTTTTTCAAATCAGTCACGAATTCCTATAGTTTAATAAAGAATGCATGTCACGATCATAATGATTCTCTTCCCTTGACGAATGTGCTTCATCGACTGGCACTATCAGTAATATGGTGGAAAATTGCACGAGTGAGAAAAAGAGTTACCATGATAAGCACCATATTTCTTACGTGCTACAGAAAAAGAGAGGACGGTGGACACGAAAGAACAGCGGTATAAAGAGCTCAAAGACTAGATAACGCGAAACTTTTTTATTGAAAGAATGCAGCCCAAGTTGCTTGATGTAAAGAATCAATAAAAAAATGTAGACGTAAAAAGTGAATAAATAAAAACATAATTGAGTTAAGTGAAGACGATGTAGCTTTAACTTATTTTGTATTTATGACTACAAAGTTAGAAAATGGTATAGGTAAAGTTAAACTTTTTTAAAAGGACTAATAAAGGTTACGAAGTAAATAGTAATTAAGGTTTTAAAAGTTAGGTAAATTTAAATAATTAAAATACTAATAAACTACTGTGTGTGTGTGTGTGTGTGTGTGTGTGTGTGTGTGTGTGTGTGTGTATTTCCTGTGTACATTTCATACTCTACTCTCTACTGAATGGAACGAACGTGATCGCATGAATAATAAGAATCATGATTAGCACGAATGGAAGAGTGTCGAGCGCAATGATACTCGAGGTTTCTAATAATACAAGACATATCACATGATCCATTTGCGAAAGAAAGTAATGTGTCAGCTGATAACACGTCAGATATACATAAAGAGCGAATAATTAATGGGGAACGCATAATACATAATACATTACTTTGATAATTTTTAAACAAAAGATCATCATGCTAACGAGATTAACGGATTTGCACGCTCATCTTGAAACATCAGTATTTATTAATTTAAAAACTAGATTTTTTTCTTTTTTATATGTTTAATTTCTTGTAAAGTTAAATGAATTTTAATCATGTGATATAAACGTTAATACGCTTTGTTACTCTGAATTGTGTTCAGAAAATTTTTATTGTTACATTTAAAAATAAAATAAAAAGAGATATAAATAACTTATTTGAATAGCGCATTATATACAGATTATTTAACGCTTAGAGATTTGTATATCCAAATGCACACATGCATCTCCATTAGTTACACTACATTGCTTACAGAATTATTACCTGACGCTTAATAATTTATATGTTTTGTTCTGTTGCAGACGTTTTCATCGAGAGATAATCGGAAATTTCAGAAGATCAAATAAAATTGCTATCATTTCAAATGCGGACAATGAGAATCTATTAAATTTACTTTAAGCTAACACTCCACAATATTATTGCTCAAAAAATGCTGTAGTACTTAATAATTGCTGAAATTTATTAAAACAAATAGATCCTTTGCGAAACCTTAACAGACCATGTGAAACCACAGAACGTGGAAGTTATGCTTTAAGCGTGTGCTTTATCGTACTAGTTCCGAACCAAAGTTTTAAATGTGAGAGAACTAACAAACTGTGAGCTTGAAATATACATTCAAGAGTACAGAAATGTGATAAGAGTTCGATAAAGTGGCATTTCAAAGCAAAGTAAAATTCGTTATACCACGGCACTCTCACCGGTAGGAACGCATGAATCGACGAAGAAGAGAGCAACGAAAAATCGAAGAGCACGAGTGACAGGAAAATGTCGATTCAGGGGCGCAACCTGTCCGATAATCCAGTCTCCACAGAATATTTCGGTGCTTTAGAGGCCGACGATGACTCGTCGATCGTTCCCCGGTTCTCCACCATTACTTCCGGAATTGCGAATGTTACCTCACCAGTCATCCCGCAGTCATCGGGTCAAGATAGTCTCCTGGAGAATGTTATTATACCGCTGTACGGTATAATCTTCTTCCTCTCCATCGTCGGGAATTCCTTAGTGCTTATCACCCTGGCGAGAAATAAACGGATGCGCACGGTGACAAATGTTTATCTGTTGAACCTGGTAAGTCTCCGCACTCTACTTGACTTCTGTGTTAAACAAAGACTTCACAAATATTAATTGCATTAATTATTTATCTTTTTGCGGAAATTGTATTCAATTGGAAAAATTACAATAATTTTACATATATATGGAAAAATTATATTACAAGTATATGGAAAAATGGAAAGATAAGAAGTCATAAATTTGAATAATAAATTCTGGCTTCATAAATTTGCAAAACATTCAGCACTAACTGATTATTTCTCAAGATTTTAAGATTTTTATTTATTTGACATAGTAATGAAATATTTTCTACGATTTATTTCTGACAGGAAATACGCAATGTATTATTCCTTTCTAAAATCGACAGCGAAGTCTTGTGTAATATTGTAATACATAAAAATTATAATAAATATCATAGCGCAAATATCATAGCGCGATACGCTTTTGTAATCAAAGTATCTTAAAAAGGAATTTAAACAAAGCTTTTTATTCATGAATATGTGCAATGATATCATTGTTTAAAATTTATATGACAGCGCATTCCGTTATCGACACGGACAACACTGCAGAAATTGTTCATCGAATATCTCGCCGATTGATCACAAATTGGCTTTCATATTTTGCACAAGATACGATGGTATTTGGACGGTAACATGCGGTAACATGGTTCAAACAGCTGATTATTCTGGGAATATTGTCGACAACATGTGACATCATTAGATTGCTCTATAATTAATCTTAATTGAATCTAACCGAGATGAATAAATTCTGACGGAATCTTTTATATATTTATACATATTTAAAAATAAAATTCTTATTAAAGTTGCCAGTTAATTTTTCTCGCGCACACCGTGTCTATGATAAACTAATTTATAATAAATCGAAAATACTATTAAATATTTAATAAATATTGTGATATTAAATGTCGTATCTACATAGAACCATAAATATTGCTTTTTAAATACATAACGATTTTTATTAAGACCTGTATCGCCTATCGAATCTAATTTTTTAATTATTTAATACTTTTTTGTTGCGATATATGTATTAGAAAAGAGAATTATGCCGGAAAAAACATATATTTATATAAATTTGCCTTCCTGATTACGTCCTGACACTAAATATGTTACTATTCTGACATAGCAATTTTTCATCCCTCAATAATTCCCCGCGCGACAAATGCATTATTTAAAAATAATGTGCAACCGTTACGTCTATAGACTTAGCTGAACAATTTTTCAAATCAGATACAAGATAAAATATAACATTGCGTGTCTGCTCAATGAAATATTTCTTGCAACTTTTACGATGTCTCGTGCAGGTTTCTGCGCGAGCGAAAATATCCGCTGGCTCGCGCGTGAGTTAATAAATAAAAGCGGAGGATGATAAGAGAGGCAACGAGACCAGGAGATTCAAGGACCCGCAGTGTCCTGCGCGCATCTGTTTGCAGAACCATTTTTGCATATTTCGTGCGAGTAGCGCGCTAGAGAAAAACTGCTAACAGCACCTTTTTTTCGGTTGCACCGGTTGCTAGTGATTCGTCACGCATGCATTGTCATCATTCTTCCAGAACGAAGAGAGATGTCGGTCACGTTCGCGAATGTCGGGAACCTGAGATCTTTCCTCGTTATATATTCAGTGAGAGCAAACAACTGATCAGTAATAAAGTAATAAAGAGCTTTCAAAAGAACATTTATGAACACACCATGTTTAGTTTGTCAATTATATTTTATTACGTAAAATCGCTACATGAGAAAATCTCCAATCTACATAAATTTGAAACTTATCAACTTGTCACTTGTCTATTATTACTTAGTTATTCATACTTTATTTATTATTTGATTTGAATTTTTTAATATATGATATTTTCAGGTGACAATTGCAAATTTTTTTCGATCCAATTAATAATTCAATTAATAAATTTATACAATTAATAAATTTATTTTAAAAAATTCTTGTCTCTTGTTAATTTAACATTTTTTTTTTTCAAAGAAATGGTGATAATAGTGATAAAATATATTTTATTGCTAGTACTACTAAAGGACACAATATAAAAGATATGAACAAAATGCAAAACGGTAGAATATATAATTAGTTAGGTATTATCAATAAATAAAAATCAATGTAGATAAAATTTTCGTATAATCTTTAACCCCGATATATTTTATTTTCTGATGTAACTATTGATATTCTCAATATGCGTATTTGTTTTATAATAGTTGCTCGTTTGTGCATGCAATATGAAAGTGTAATCAAACGTAGACGTTTTTTTTTTTTTTTTTTTTTTAGTATACCTATG